ACATAGAATCAATCACCTCATACAAAGCAACATGACTCGCTAAACCTGAAACATGCAAATTTAAGTCTAAAACTAGTGGTGGACCGGGCCCGGTTTGAACTTGGGCCCGGTTCGGGCCTGGGCCTGGTTCGAGCCTAGGCCCGGCCGAGCCTGGAAGGTCTTGGGTAAGGACCGGAACCGGCCTGGTAGGCTCCCGGTTCCGGGCCGGTCTTGGTTATTTTGGTTTTTGTGTTTTATTATTTATTTCAAGCCCTACCCGCCCACCCCCCAAACCCCTTGGAGTCACCCAGCTTAGCCCAAACCCAAAAAAAAAAGAGGTCCGAACCGGCCGGGTCGGTTCACCTTTTTCTTGCACCGGAACCGCCCCCCACCCCACCCTCTTGGGTTGGGCGGCTCGGAACCGGTTTCCTGTGCCGTTCCCGCACATTAGCGGGTCTGGCCGGTTGGATCGGACCGGGTCCACCACTACCTAAAACGAACAGATTTGAAACCCTTCATATCAAAAGAATTCCGAAAATCTAAACATTGAAACCAAATCCACTCGGACTAAAACTAAAGTTAGTACTACAGTACTACTGTTAAAGAGAAAATAATATAGAAATAAAATCTTTCTACAAAATTCTTCCTGGTATGGAGGTGGTTTTGGAGGAGGACGAGCTCTTGCAATATGGATGAATACAAACTCAACCACAGTCGAAGCGGCTGACCAAGGCTTCATGATCCAGCACCGAAACAAAATTCCATCTGCAATTTGTTCATCCGTCAACGTTATCTCCTCTGACATAGTTACAATTAAAATAAAAAAAATCTGCCGCTCCAACCCCATATTGATGGGGCAGCGGAACATTTCAACCCCTACAAAGAGGGGAGATGACCGCTAGGTTTTTAGAGAGAAGTGAGAGCTCTCCTATAATGTATTAACTAATTAACCAGTGAAATTCTGCTTTTATTTTTATTTGAAATAATTACATATTAATTACTTAAATAAAGGTTATTGATAGAAATGTGATTATAGTAGCAAGTGTCCTACAGTTGCGCTGCCATCTTCCTGAGGGCCAGGGTCCGACGGAGCAATCATAGAAAGCCAGCCTGTCAAGGAGACAATATCGGCTGCACTTGTGGGTGAAAAGGGGGGGGGCCAGTACGCAGTGGAGACCAGGGGTACCGTCACATGGGATGACCTTGTTCGGATGGATAGAGACAAAGTGGTGACCATTCATCCCCCTTTGGTTACACTCTAAGACACTTTAGATACGTCAATAATTGACTCAGATATCAGTGACCATAGGGACTCCGTTGATTTAATTCTAGCATTGACGGATGACTCAATTAAAGAAAATTTTCACTTTTTTGGAGAGGAAGGCTTTGATTCCGTCAAGATTGAATCAAAATCATTTAGATTTGCAGACAGACAAAATGAAATTGTCATATTTGAAATTAAAAAATCCTGGGTGCGCAAGATTAATTTCAAAAAAGAGCAAGCACCCGACATCTACAGATTTATAAACCACCTCACCGGATCAGATAATTTTAGGGAAAGCAGAAGATTTGGTTCCATCACGGTCTCTTCAAATTTAAAAAACTCAGGCCGGTATGTGAAGATTGCTAATGAAAAGGGGAGCTTCGTAATAATCCCCATGGGCCCAAAAAACTCCAATTTAAAAAATTTCATGGCAATATTCTCTAATTTTATTGGACCGGCTAATTTAGTGCAGGAGACAACAATGGATTGGCTAGAAGAAAACATTTTAGTTACAGAGGAGCCAAAATCAATATCTAAACTTATTTTCGACTCCCAAATTCAAGGAGCCTACTCAGAGAATCAAAGGTCTCCAACTCTAGTAGAACGGCACAGGCTTGTTCAGGCTTACTCAGACGCATCAGACAACTTTTATCAATCAGATGATTCTTCTTTTATGGACGACTTTCTGGGACATGCCACTGAAAGCGATCGTCGTCCCCCTATCTCAACTCCAGGAGAAATCACGAAATCAAAATATAACAGAGCAATCTGCAGGAAATCAGAGTTTGTTACTTCAGAAAATTGCCTGCCAACGGAAAACCTAAACATGCAACTAAAAATCCACAGGAAATCTCAAAAGAACAAAAGGAGGCACAACATGACTACTAGGTCTCAGTCAAAAGAATTTCCGTGGGTGTAGTTTTAGTCTTTTCTTTCTCTGTATCGTTTTTTTTCTTTTATTTTCTTTTTATCTTTCTTTTTCTGTATTTTCTTTCTCTGTAATGTTAACTTTTTTCAATAAAATTTTCTTTTTCCAAAAAAAATATGGAGTATGTTTCAACAATTTATTTGAATATTTATTATAGAAATCATAATTATTTTGAAATGGCTGTAATTTTTTAAATTGCAATTATGATAGTTTTGGTAATAAAAGAACAATGCTTAAGATTAAAAAGTCAAAAATTGGGCAAAAATTAAGTAAAAATGAACAAGCATGCATTCAGAAACAAAATTGCAAACGGCAGACTCCGTAACCTTTTTATATTCATGTCAGATAAGTTTTATGTAGACAGCTCCCATAAAACTTGTGCGAATTGGAACTGGAAAAAATCAGTAAAAATAAGTTGTGTTTAATTAATTAATTTGTTAAAAGTTGAAAAATCAGAACGTAACTTTGAATATATGTTTATTTATTGGCGTTGGAATACAAAAAGGTTGGAAAATGCATTGAAATGTGAAAAGTTGGAAACACCGGGCTACGCACTGCATTTAATTTAATGTCCATCAGTCCATTTTAGAAGAGTTTTATCGAGAACTTGCTGAGCAATCTATCCCAAGAGGTTTTATTTTATCCTAGGGAAAGAAATGACCCAATTGGTTTTGGTGTCAACCTGCTGAGGAAGAATCATTTTGTTATTATATTATGAAAGATAGATAGAGAGTATCAAATAATGGTATATATATTATTCAAATAAGGATGGTGGATAAAATCATGACATATTATATAGAGTGGTTTATTATAATTTTTAGTAATTGTATTTATGTACAATTGAATTTTACATTAGAATTATCATAATTATTCATACATATTTTGTCATATCAGCGAGCCGTTTCTCGAGGGCGCTGACCTTACTCAGAAGTGCATCATAATTGGGATGCTGGGAGGCATGGGCCGCTGCGCGCCCTGTAGCCTCTCGGGCCTCCATATCAGCGAGCCGTTTCTCGAGACGGGCAATGATCTCGTCCCTGGGGTCCCTGGTGGCCGCAGCGCCACCTAGTGGAGGTTGGATCCGGGCTGCGTGGGCCTGGTCGATCTGGTGACGCGCATCGTCATCATCCAGCTTCCCTTTGCCTTTGTCTAGTCGGGGCCGATCCGTTGTCCGGGAAACGGACCCGAAGCTTTCCTTAGGTGATCCCGGCTCTCGACCACCCAACCGATCCGCCACCCTTCCCGTAGGTACCCGACGGCTCGCGATGTCACCCAGCCTGTTGAAGGCCGAGATTTTACCGCGAGGTTGGGCCGGTGTACTCCGAGTAGGAGAGGCAGTATGGGAATGGGTGTCCACAGCGAGGACGCCTTCGTCATTGCCGAAGAAGGTGACGCCTTGTGGACGAGGTGGCGGTGGTGGCACCGTCGTGACCTCTCCAGTCACAGGAGTGTTGTTCTCCCCGGTCTTTGCGACAAGAGCGCTGACCACGTTAGGGTCCTGGAGGATGCTTGCGACGATGGCCGATAGTGCGGCCGGGTTGATCTGGGGGGCAGTAGGGGGAGAACCCTGTTGGCCCGAAGCGCGGTCAGCAGTGCGTCTGTCCTCGAGCCCGATGCGGGCATCTGGAGCAGTCCTGTTAAGTTGGACGCGGAGGTCGGCCGCCGCGTGTTCAACTTCCTGAGCATCTTCTTCATGGACGTTGGGGTCATTAGGGACGTTGTCAGCAACATTTCCCTGCCCTTCCTGGTTCAGGGAAATGTTGGATTGTCAGCAACATACCTGGCCCCCGGCAGACCAGCGGTCAACTATGCACCCATCAGCACCGCTATACCCTTCTCCAGATGGGGGATTGACTTAGTGGGCCCTCTGCCGAGGGGTACCTCCAACAACCGGTATATCATTGTGGCCATTGACTACTTCACCAAATGGGTAGTCAATGGCCATTGGGTATATCATTGTGAGCATCTTCTTCATGGACGTTGGGGTCATTAGGGACGTTGTCAGCAACATTTCCCTGCCCTTCCTGGTTCAGGGGGGCATTCCTACCGGTGTTCTTTGACCTAGTTCTTGTCATTCTGTTGCGTCTAGTAGCGACGAGGGGTACTCACTTGATCTGTTCTAAACTCTCAACGAGAGCACCAAATGATAGAGTATTAATTCTAGAGAGAAGTGAGAGCTAGAGAGAGAAAGTGAATAACTATATTTCTCAACTTGGAACCCCCTATAATTAGCCGCTTGGGGTCTATTTATAGGTAAAAATGTGGATTTGGGCCCCTAGCCTTGGGCTTAGGAGGCCCATTACAATAATCATGCCTTCTTTGGGCGAAATAAGGCCACTAATGGGCTGTGTACAATACTTAGTAAATACAATGAAAAATACATTCTGCCAGGATGAAGTCCGGACGATGCGGTCCATGGACGATGCGGTCTATGGACGATGCGGTCCATGGACGATGCGGTCATTGGACGATGCGGATCCTGGGCTTCGTCCATATAATCCAGGAGCTATCTCCTTCCTTGGACGTCGCGTGCCTTTGGCCGATGCGGGTGTCCCGCTGGTGTCTTTTGGGCTGTTGAGTATGTGGGCCATGGGGTCCAGACCCATATACTCTATCACTATCAGTCGATCACTAGGTGACTACGTACGGTAGGGATTTTAGTAATCGGAGAATCAATTATATTCGAACAAACAATTATGATAAAGTGTTTGCGATTGCTTCTACTTTAAAACGGTAAATTTTTAAAGTAATTTTGGAAAAATTGTTTAGTAGTAAAAGTTGGCAGTGTTTGAAAAAAAAAGTGATTATGAAAAAGTAAACGTTGGTAGTGTTTGATATAATAAGTGTTTTTTGTGTAGTAGAAAAAGTGAAAAGCAGTTTAAAGCACTTCTCAACCTGCTTCTATCTTTTAGTTTTTAAGTGATTAATTTAATTAGAAGTTGTTACTTGAAAACACCAATTTCAAGTTTTTTAAAACCAAAAGTTGAAAAGTGTTTTTTTTTTATGTTTTTGCACACACCTTGTGCCAACGTCTTTGTCACTCATATTACTACTCAAAGTTGTTGGATAATAAAAAGAAGGAAAATGGAAATTTTAAAAAGCAAGTTGTGACAACATACATTGCCTTTGATTTACTCACGACAAGTTCGCCTTGTGCGCTGATTTATTGCAATAGTTTTTTATCGTCAACTAGCCTTCTTTCATATCATAAATTTCCGGATCATTACATCAGTCAAAGGAAAAACAAACCGACACCAACTAAATTCCAAAAACTACGACTGTAAATTCAATGATCAGACTTAGAGACGGTCACCCCTGAAAGAGCAACGCGAATCGCTAACCATGTAGCGGGCTTGACACAGCCATCGAAAGCCGCACAATTCTCCTCGTCCCGCTCTCTTAGCAAATCCACCGCCAACGGTCATCTTCATCGTTGCGATGCCCTTGCCACCCAAACTCATTCCCCCCCCCCCCCAAAAAAAAAAGAGAACCAATCGGATATGCCCACTGCACACCAACAATCCTGTCCGGAATCCGAACGTTTGGAAGACAAAATCCGGCTAAATTGCAAAGCAACGCAAAACTGTTCGAAAATGCAGCCCCGCGCCGGCCAAAACTTCCAAGACTTGGGAAGGTTTTTGAAGAGATTGTATGCCAACCGAAGAAAAGCAGCCGGCCGAAGCCGCTGGAACCCACGACCTGAGGAGGTCGCCGTTGGAGAAAGAGCTAGGCGTTGCGTGAGGCAACCCTAGAGAGAGACGAGAGCTGCAAAGGGGCCTTGTTTATACTCTATATGATTTATTGCAATATTTTAGTGCGGTGACTATAACGTCAGTCAAAACTAACCCACTTTATACCAGATTAGTCCCCTAATAAATAGCTCTATGAACTCTATCTTAATCATCGTGTTATGTTATCTTTAAAATAATTCAATAATCACAAGCATCAACCCATGTAAAACTTCTAAATTGGCCTCCTAAATTCATTTTTGGTTTCAATTGCATGAAAAGTTTCAATTGCCTTTGATTTACTCACGACAAGTTCGCCTTTTATTGCAATAGTTTAGTGCGGTGACTATAACGTCGGCCAAAACAAACCCACTCTATACCAGATCAGTCCACTAATAAATAACTCTATGAAGTACTCTATCTTAATCATCGTGTTATGTTATCTTTAAAATAATTCAATAATATAATCTCAAACATCAACCCATGTAAAACTTCTAAATTAGCCTCCTAAATTCATTTTTGGTTTCAATTGCATAAAACTTTTTCTTTCCTGAACAGAAGAATCTCTACGACTCAGTGATAATTTTCGGAAAGAGTTAGTATTTCTTGTAACATCCAAATTTTTTGCATGTTGCCACCTCATGAAAGAAGTGATTCTATTTGGATTGAGCTTTTAATTTGTGGTGATAAAGTGCAAACAACACTTTATATTTTTATGACTTCACATTTTTTCTAAGTGGGTTATGTTATATCCCACATACTTGGATATTTCAGATTAAAATCACATAAAATATGAGTAGACTTAACTTAAATTGATTGGACATGACTAGACTTAAAACAAATCAAATCATACCAGCTTCGCTCTAAATAATAGAGGATAATGATATGCATAAGAAAATAAAATAATAATGATGTACTCAAAATGTCAAGAAAATTACTTTTTGTACACATAATTTAAGCACACTTTTCTGTATATACAGACATCTCGTTAATTAGAAACAAACAACAATTCTCTGTATACGCGGACGAGTGTAAAATATACACAAAATGTGTACATCCACTAATTACCTGTGGGCAGGCAACTCGTTTATAAAAATGCAACAATTATCCGTGTAGATAGAAGAGTTTGTCAAATGTGTGCAAATTATGTGTACCACAAGAATGGTTGAAATCTAAAACATGAATATGTCATGAAACCAGAGGTTCTAAACTCAAACAAGTCATACTATACAAAAATAACAAACTCTATGAGTTTCATGGCCAGTTCGATAACACTGAAATTGGCTCAATTAGTTAAAGTTTATGAAATTCTAAATGGAAGTATGGAAGTATGGAATTATCAATTAGTTGAAGTATGGAAGTATTATATTCTAACTATATTTTATTAATAGAGCGAGAAAAATTATTACTCATTCCAACGTCTGAAATGAAATTATGTGTTTGATTAAAAAAATATCCGATAAAACCAAAAACTCGGATACTAAACGAAATTTAAATATTCCCCATCACATTTCTAAAATATTTCAAAAGAAATGGATATATTTAAACTTCATCTCATGCTAGACACAAGTGAAAATTTATAAAAATGAAGGAATTATATGATAGGTAGTATTTATTAGAGTTTTAATAGACAAAAATTAAAAATGTGAACAGCCCATTACTGGTGCGGGTACCGCCTCCTCAGTTCAGTATGAACAGCCCTCCCTCCGATCGACAGATACGAGTTCATGAAAGAGGAGCTGAACGTCCCTCCCTCCGATCGACAAACGCAATAGGAAATCCGGCGGATTTTGTTAGCGGCGTCGGGCTTGGTGAAAGAGCTGAGCTGAGCTGTTGGTGAAGGAAGCCAGGCCAGAGAAATGGAGAAAGTAAGCATTCACTAATTAGAATCAGTTCCCACACCGACGACGGAAGGCTGGGCGACTCCTGACTGGGTCTATAAATAATAAGGTACAGTTGCAGATATACTCACCCTTTGGGACTGACCAAGTCCCGCTGGGTATGGAGTTCTTTATGAAGTATGTTAATCTCCCTGGAGTTTGTATGAATTATGGAGTATGTTGAGATATATAATAGCCTCATAGGTATCAAGTTATTTATAAGGAATGTGTCGAGATATATAATAGCCTCATATGTTAAGTTATTCATACAAATAAAACGAAGATGTGACTCCCCTCACAATTCTGTCAATGTAAACAGACAATTTAGGGACCAAAAAGAAATGTGAAAGGCAACTCGGCTCAGTTGTTTTCCTCACACGTTGCACATACTACTAGGGAAACACAGAGTTATGATATCTTCTGGCTGTTGTTTATTGGTCTATCTTCCCTTTCCCTGTAACATACGACTTTTCGTGGTCATCTTGAAAACGAATACGTGTCGAGATTTTTGATACAAATAAAAAAAAATGTGAGGGTGAGCCTCCCCTCACAGTTCTTTCAATAAAAACAGACAGTTTAGGGACCACAAAGAAAGTGTGAAAGGAAACACATAGTTATGATATCTTCTCGCTTCCCTTTCCAAACAGGAAAAGGAAAAAAGAGTGAGATGAACAAGATATTTTATGAACTTCCTCCCACTACTAATCTATGTGGCTGATCTGTAAGCATCTACCATGTTGGAGTGTTGGGGTTGTGATGCTGGAACTAATATTATGATCACCAAATGTGTTCCAGGTATGTTTTAGGACACATGCTCTTTTGGATCAGCACCTAGAAGGGTGGAATGAAAGCTTAAAGGAGCTTGCATTCAAGTAAGTTCTGAATCAAAGCACCAACAACAAAGGATTTGGTACATAAACCCTTGAGATGATCTTTCAACGTTATGATGTCCTCTATTAATATCTTCAGTTCCTACCAAGTGTGCTCTTGGAACCATAATGTCTTTTTACACCCTTCTATTCATGTCATTTTTAGTCTACCGTGGGGCCTTTTAAATCGCTGGCAATCCAGGACTCCACATTCGCATAATGATCCAGGTTGGATTTACACAGGTTGCGTCCTCACAATACAAATGTTTAATCAACGACTCAGATGCAAATATGGTGAATAAAGGAAACTGACCTAGTGACCTGAATATCAATTTCACTTCGATGTTCTCATTAGTGCTTCATGTTGCAACTACAAGTGTTTCGTTACTGATCAAAAATTGCCCATGGAATTCTGATTCTCTTTTCTAAGTTAATTTTGGGGACATTTTGTTATGTTCCATTTCATAATGTTTAATGTGATTTCTTCCGCTAATCGTTCTGGGTATTGGTGTATAGGAGCCGCAAGTTTATATGGGAGGAAATGTCTTATTTGGAGAGATGGTGGAGGGATGCATCAGCTGCAAAGAAAGAATCCTTCATCAATTTAGTACAGAATGGAGAACTAGAAATCGTAGGACGTGGTTGGGTGATGAATGATGAGGTAAGCCTGTGCTGTTAACGTAATGACACTTTTGCAATGGTATGCAAGTAATAATTTTTCTCTTCAAGTGTTTCATATTTTTTCCAATTGGGATCTGGGAATGGTGAACAGAAAGCCATGTTTTTAACGGATCACAGTGGCGATTTGACATTTTTCTTAGTAAAATTTACCATAATGAATGAGTTCTAGGCTTCCAGCTTCTTGAAAAAATGGGTTTATTTGTCTGGTAACAGTTGATTAGCTGGTTTTACATGTAAAACTGTAATCATATTTGGTTCTTGTGCTGGCGCGCGTTCGGAAAGCTAGACTAAAATAATAATCTTTTGGACACGTTATGTCAATTTTACTGGGACCCTTGGATCTTTAGAACTTTATTTGCATTTTGCTCTTCATATTTGGTTTTCTCGTCAAGGAATCATTTTCCTTGCAATTGTCTTTCATTCATCTGTGAATTTCTCTTGCTTGTGCACCTGCAGCTTATTTTATTCTCTTTTTTTTTACAGGCTAATTCACACTACTTTGCAATCATAGAACAGGTAAAGTGTATAATTCTCTTGTTTTTACTCACATTCTTCTTATTCCTGCTTTTTTTAAAGCTGCTGGCTCGATATATAATTATTTATTTTGTGGTTACGCGTTACCTTTTTGGCATTAGTTATTGTCTAGTTCATAAGTGCATATTTTGATTACACATAATAGGGCTGCTTTATTGATACCACCCAACTTTCTTTGCTTTGAGTTTCTAATTGAAAACTGAAGTAATAAGCTGAACAGATGATGCCAACTGGAGAATTAGATAGAGATTTATATGGGGCCCAAAATGTTGCGGTTCTCATTTACTGAGTTGAAAATTGTGACGTTGTTGCATAATGGATGTCATCTCATTCTAGTTTCCATAATATGCTTTAAGTAAATCGTTCTTTTTAACTTTTTATTCATATTTAATAATTTGTAAACCCAGCGAAATAGCTGGGATTTCTTAATAACTATATATGTACTTAAGCATGCATATCACATGCTGTCCCTATAAGCTGTGCTAAGGATCTTGTTTTCTGAATCTATTACCAGATAACAGAGGGTAATTTATGGCTTAATGAAACTTGCGGTGTTGTTCCAAAAAATTCGTGGTTGATTGATCTTTTCGGATACTCTCCAACAATGGCATACCTTTTTCGTCGTATGGGTTTCGAGAATATGCTCATACAGAGGACACATTATGAATTGAAGAAGGAACTGGCTTTGTATAGAAATTTAGAATTCGTATGGCGGCAGAGCTGGGATGCTGAAGAAACAACTGACATGTTTGCTCATATGATGCCCTTTTATTCATATGATATTCCACATACTTGTGGGCCTGAGCCTGCAATATGCTTTCAATTTGACTTTGCTAGAACCTATGGCTTTACGTATGAGCGCTGCCCTTGGGGAGAATATCCACAGGAGACCACACCAGAAAATGTTAAAGAAAGAGCACTAAAGCTGCTGGATCAATACAGAAAGAAATCAACACTATATCGCACAAATACTCTTCTTATTCCCCTCGGAGATGATTTCTGCTATGTCACCGTTGATGAGGCTGAAGCTCAGTTCAGGAATTATCAGCTTCTGCTTGATTATATCAATTCTGATCCGGACTTGAATGCAGAAGCAAAATTTGGTACCTTGGAAGATTATTTCCGGACTCTTCGTGAAGAGGCTGATAGGGTAAATTACTCCCGTCCAAATGAGATTGGTTCTATTGAGATTGGTGGGTTTCCTTCTCTTTCAGGCGATTTCTTCACATATGCTGACAGACAGCAAGATTATGTTAGTCACGCTAATAATCGGTAATAGTTGCAGTATTTTATTAATAAAAGAGACGTAAAATAACAAGAACAGTCCAATCTAGAGAAAGATAGTGGGTTTCTCTCTCTAGCCCAAAGCCCAGCCAAGACTTACTGAATTCCAGCCTGTCCCTCTTATTTCCCACCCTAACATATATATAGCAAACAAAACCCGCTCATTAATTATTCCCGACTATTCCCGTTCCTCCTTCCCCTTCTTACATATACCCTATCAAAATATTCTACACCCCTTGTGCTATCAGATTACTGGAGTGGTTATTATGTTTCTCGGCCTTTCTTCAAGGCTGTTGATCGTGTGTTGGAGCAAACCCTCCGCGGTGCTGATATGATGATGGCTTTCCTATTAGGTCATTGTCAGAAACCACAATGTGAGCGGTTACTTACCGGATTTTCCTATAAGTTAGCAGCGGCTAGGAGGAACCTAGCGCTGTTCCAACGTCATGATGGGGTTACTGGTACAGCTAAGGACCACGTAGTTAATGATTATGGGGTGAGAATGCACATAGCTTTGCAAGATCTTCAAATTTTCATGGGATTCGCCATGAAAAGAATGAACAGAACCCAACTCAGTTTGAGGCTGCACAAGTGAGATCTAAATACGATGCTCAGCCAGTGCACAAAGCCATGTCTGCTCATGAAGGGACAGTCCAGACTGTGGTGATATTTAATCCACTAGAGCAGACAAGACATGAAGTTGTGATGGTAATTGTTGACAGACCTGAGGTGATAATCTTGGACTCAAATTGGACATGTGTGAGAAGCCAGATATCTCCAGAGATGCAACAACACTACAGCAGCAAGGAGGATGAAACATTATTCTCTGTAGACATCGTGTATACTGGAAAGCTTCGGTCCCCCCATTAGGGTTGCAAACTTATTATGTCGCTAATGGGTTTGCCGGTTGTGAAAAGGCCACACCAGCAGAGGTCAAATGGTTCGTGCCTTCTTCCAATATTTCTTGTCCCAAACCATATACTTGCTCAAGAATGGAGGGTGAAGAAGCAATAATCAGTACTCGGCATCAGACGTTGACATTTAGCATGAAGGATTGTTACAGAGAATTAGTCATACCAATGGCCGCCATAATGGCATTGCTTTGTTTGTAACTAGTAAAAGAAGTTGCTCTCTGGTTCATGAATCATGACTCTTCGATGACCACACATTCATTTATTTTTTAATAGACTGAGATCGTTCATGACAATATGTATTCTGATCCCTGGGAGCTCTGCCAAGCCTCACCACTTTAGGGCTACAAATAACCCAGTAAGCGATAAAGTTCAGCATTTCCTTTTTTCTATGTTTACTCGGATGATAATAATGGACAGAGTTGTTTATTGGTTAGTAACATTTTCATTCTTGCATTTCTTCACTCCTGTTTTACATTCTTTTATGAAAAGACATTTATTTTGCTTTACAAGTATAACGTCACTCATTAGTGGGTCCATTATCATGAAACCTACTAGGGTTCTGTTTCACCGGCTCCATGGAGATGCTCCGAAGAGTTCTTTTTGCATCTAATTAGAAACAGAGATCCTCTGAAAATAGAGTGAGTAGAGGGTAATTTCCTCTTCTGCCCAAAATACAATTAGCTGCTACTAGTGGATGTCACAAGGTTCTGGTCAACTTCTCTATTCCCTTTTTAAAAGGAAGACCCAGTGTGCATGTTGTAGAGGTTTCCAAATATATGGTCTTCGCGATTAGTACGCCAATTGCTACGTTGGAATCCTGTGAGTCAACCCATCACAAAGTTTTTTAAGAGATCATCATTGATACTTTTGAAATTTGGAATAGGTATAATTATATTTTAATAATTAATGCAATTTATATGTTTGAGTAGGAGGATCGACCGAGTGTACATAAAAGGTTTGAGTTAATTTGCATCCTTTGTGTATACGGCGGCCTATTTGCTATGGTTCAACAAATAAATGTCGACTGTTCGATGATTGTAATAAAGAGATGAGGAACTGTTGACTTGCTCAAAGAAGTGAATACCTGAAATGATTGAACACAATGTAAGTAGCAGAAAAACTGCATCCTACAAATGTGATTTGACTGTATCTTGCTTTGACAATGTACCCCACCCCTTGTGAAACATGTTAACTCTTGAAGTTTACTAAACTAAACTTCAGAATAATAATGATCAAACTTCACTTACTAATCAAAACTTTGAAATATTAATATTATCATAGTCATTATAACTACTTAATTATTCCTACTACTGCTGTCGGTAGACTCGGTACTATCCAGAATTGTTGATGCTAATCCGTGTCATTACTCTTGACGATGCTAATCAAGTATTGCTCCTGTTCGCTATTTATCTCCACATATGACTTTTCATGGTAATCTTGAAAACGAAAATGTGTCGAGATTTTTCATTGAAATGAAACAAAAATGTGAGCCTCACAGTTCTTTCAATATAAAAAGATAATTTAGGGACCAAAAGGAAGTCTGAAATCGGCAACTTGGCAAATAAGCATTATATTTTTTTATGAACATAAGAGTTAGCAAGTTATTACGTATTCTGAATTCACTCAGGGAAAAATTGTTTTCCTGGGGGGGGGGGGGAGATTAAAAGGGAAACCGGGAAGAAGAAGAAGAAGAAAGGGGAAACGGGTAAAGGGAGAGAGTAGAAGGAAGGAACGGGAAAGAATAGAAACTTAAGAAAATAGAAAAATAAGTTGTATATCCAGTTATATAATTAAAGCACCAGTTATTTTAATTCTTCTGCCTCCAGATATATTTGAAACTTGAAATCTAGTCTTGCCACAAGGATTTTATTATTCTCCAACTTCGTTTCCTGAACTTCTTCTTTTATGGTCATTTGCTTTGAAGACAAGGATCGTGGGAGATGCTTGGAAGAATATCCAAGTTCTTTTTTGCTCAGGTTTGAATTAGATTATAAGACGCCCTTCTGTCATCTGTCAGGCACCCTTTTTAAATTAGAAATTACTCTGTCAGTCATTTTTACCTTAACCATCAATGGAACAAAGCTGATTACGAGTACAATTCTGAAGTATGTTAATTTCACTTCATCTACTATTGAGTTTCTTCTTTCTGACTGTTTATTGGTCTATCTTCCCTTTCCCTGTAACATCCTTCGTGGCTGGTGTGTATATTATGAAGTATGTTGAGATATATAATAGCCTCTCAGAGTCACAGGTATATGTTACTCCTGTTCGCTATGTATCTCCACATATGACTTTTCATAGACATCTTGAAAACGAAAATGTGTCGAGATTTTTCATAGAAATTAAACAAAAATGCAATTCTTTCAATGAAAAGAGATAATTTAGGGACCACAAGGAAGTGTGAAATCGGCAACTCGGCAAATAAGCATTACTGTATATTTTTTTATGAATGTAGAAGCTAGCAAGTTATTTTATATTTTGAATTCATTCATATTACTGGTGAATGTGGCTTAGTTGTTTTCCATACACATTACACATACTTCTTGGGAAACACAAAGTTATAATATCTTCTCGCTTCCCTTTCCAAACAGAAAAAGGAAAAAAGAGTGAGGTGAACAAGATATTTTATGAACTTCCTCCCACCTCTAATCTATGTGGCTGATCTGTAAGCATCTACAATGTTAGTGTGTTGGGCTTGTGATGCTGGAACTAATATTAGGATCACCAAATGTGTTCCGGATAAGTTTTAGGACACATGCTCATTTGGATCAGCACCTAGAAGGGTGGAATGAAAGCTTAAAAGAGCTTGCATTCAAGTAAGTTCTGAATACAAGCACCAACAACAAAGGATTTGGTACATAAACCCTTGAGATGATCTTTCAACGTTATGATGTCCTCTATTATATCTGCAGTTCCTACTCTATGAAATGTACCAAGTGTGCTCTTGGAACCATAATGTCTTTTTACACCCTTCTATTCATGTCATTTTTAGTCTACCGTGGGGCCTTTTAAATCGCTGGCAATCCAGGACTCCACTCTGCGTAATAGGGATTTAGGGCACTACCTACTCGTCGACAATCACACCCTCCTTCTCACCGATCTCCTTCCTCCTTGTCGATCAACGAAGCCCCGCAACCCTTGACGAAAACAAACAAACAAACACTGCCATTCTTCGTCCTCGACGAAAACGGGAAAAAAGCTCCAGCGGCGTGATGCCCTAGAGAGAAAACTCGCAGACCGCTATTCATTTAATTTGTTGAATAACGGGCTCAACACATTGTGTTACACAATATACCTGTTTTTGACAAGTGGAGGATGAAAGCTGATCCCAATACCCATAGTCGTTAAAGCCGGGGTGCATATTTGAGTTCCACTTCTACACGTTGATTAACATCTCTTGATGTATTTACTAATAAACAAGTGAAATTCTGCTTTTATTTTTATTTGAAATAATTACATATTTATAACTTAAATAAAGGTTATTGATAAAAATGTGATTATAGTAGCAAGTTTAGTTATAGTGATTTATGTTCAATTTGTACACTCAAGTGAACATGAGTCCATGAATTTATACTTAGTAATTTGTATTCATATTGTAAATAAATTATATGCAGTATTTTGATAATGTCTTCGAAAAAACCTAAATTCGTAGTTTGTGTTCCTACCTGACTGAAATGCGTTTGAAGGTTCAGGTCCGTTGAGTCGTCTGGAATCTGGACACCTCGAATCGGTGGGAAGCTACTGGGTGTTGGGGACTTGGGGGTTGTTTACATTATTACTAGTATTTGCACCCGTGCGATGCATGGCCGAAATATTTAATCTTGAACGTCTGTACTCATATCTTGCTGTTGAGACATAGGATTGTTCACTAAATTTTGAGGAGGGAAACTTCCATCTCACCTCATCAACAAGGCTCATGTAACCTGCAGACAAAAATCTAGATGTGCAATGAACTAAATTTATTGGAAATGTTTGGCTGTTGCATTTTACCACTTTGCAGGACCATAATTTGTGATGCAGCTTAAACTGTTGTGATTGTATTCTACAGGCAACTGAGAATCTTTGTATGGCAATGATCTTTACATTGGTCACATCAGCAAAAGAGTGGTTATCTGAACTATTTTCCAAGGATGCCAATGATGAAAATGCTGGAGAAGCTGAAGTTGCGAAAGATGAGGTATATTATTTAACTGTCCAACCTGTGGCATAAAGATATCTAATATATGTATCAAGATTGCATGTATCCGACATGTGTACTACAATTTTAGGACTTAACTAAAGGTTTCGAAATTGAAATGGAAAATGAGTTTCTGTCTTTAAGGTTTCTTCAAGTCAAGGCTACGTAATAGGATTGTCATTAGTAATTGCATGTTCTGTTTAGATGAGAATTTTGCTTAGCGTTCCCATAAATATGACTATCAAAACTTTCCATTTTCAATATGACTAAAGAGAATTAGCGCACCTATACCTAACCCCAACCTGACTTTCCACCAATCCACAATCCTACCATCTTCACTGTCCATCACACCCATCACCACCTGGCTTTAACCTCACTATCCAGCATCACAATTCAAAAAACACAAACGTCATCACTGCCCATCAAGACCAATCTAACCTCACTTCCTGCCACCGACGCACAACCCTAACATCTTCAATATCCATCCCTTTGCCTTCAAAAAGGACAAAAAAAATCAGAAAAACATGATTGACCAATGGCCATCTATGTTTACTTATCACTGCGGACTGCGGTAAAAACAAGGAAAAACCAACTCCCTCAACCATTGAAGATCTAGATCTTGAATCTCGATTTGCTCGAAAAACATCGAGGCCTAGAGGACTAGAGGGGTTAGGAAGCCATGGCAGAAAGCTTGCAAAGAAAGAGATGAACCATACCAGAAAATATTGTGAAGGGTGTTGATTAACAGTTCTACGTAACTCAATTGTTTTCTTTTAATTTTTTGATTGCATGGGTTGATTTATTACTTTGTAAAGTGTTTTGTGCACTAGTAGAGGATGAAGCCGTCACCTTAAATAAGTGGGATGTGGGGTTAGAGTGAGAAAGATAGTAAATGAGTTACGGAGTATGGTAACCATGGCTGGAATTTTGTGGGGCCTGGGTGGGGGAGAAAGATAGTATTATACTAAAATTGCACGGAAATTTACATGAGAGAGGTAGGTTTTTAATTAATTGGGTAGGGCATATTAGTGTAAAAAAGTTCTACTCTCTGTGACTCTTCTCCCAAATTAGACTTCCTGTTTTCCTTTTTGGTCTGTCCCAACTTCCAAATAATCTTACTCTTTCCTTAGAAAATAAATAAATAAATGGTTCTCATCATTTCACTCGATTCTACTCAAACCTACACCCCCTCTTTTACTTTTTAACCATCTTCTTAATAAGCGTGTCACCTAGGGAGTATTTTCTAGTGCTATTTATGTATGACAGAATGAGTCTTAATTGGAGAATGAAAACAGTGTTCTTATCTATGGATATACTTATATTTAGCCATATAGGGGTAATTATTTGTATATAGTCCTACATCCTCTCCAAGTTCCTGATTCGATTTTTATGTCCCCAAAAACTGTCATTATATGGTTAAACAGAGTTAATGTTTCATGTACTCCCTTCCCTCAAAAAAACGAAATTCACTATGATGAATTTATTTCAAACCTTGACCAAACATGACCCCTTATTTGGGACTTGGGAGGGGCAAAGTATCTCATAGAAGTACCTAGTGCAAATGATTAGCACTAAAATACTATAATAGTGTATGTACTTTTGAACTCTTTCTCCAATAGGTTTTTTTTTATTCAAGTGATTTTACATGTTTTTCTTCATGTCCTCACATGCATGCCAATATCATCTGTCATTCAGTTCACCTATATTTAGATCCATTCAAATTGAATGTGGCTCTATTTTTATTTCAGATGATTGTGCCTCATGGAGAACCAATGACCATTGAAATATTCTTGGCATGGAGGGAAAGATTTGAGGCAGAACAGGCCCTCGAAAGAGCCAAGTAAATAGAAAATGCTTGTGTGGCTCACTCATAAGCCTTGCAACCAAATCAAGAAAATTCATATGTATGTTATGGACCCCTA